AAGAAAATGTGGAGATGGATATCCTTCAAGGTTACTATTAATGACTATATTTTTTTCATGGATTAATAAAATAACATGTTATAAATTTAATGGAGGTCAATAATTGTGGCATTGTCAACAAGGGACATTCAATTGAAGTTAAAGACTTTATTTTTAACAATACTTAGAACCTTTGTAAAGTGAAGAACTTTGATGGCAAGATAAAAATCCCTTCTTACATATAAGTGCTCATTATTTACATTTTTATCATCTTCCTGATATTTAATGGCACAAAGTCTCGTGGTTCAAAGACCAATCCATAAGTTGGTTGGAAAGTTTACATTAATGATTTCGAAATAAATGACCATTTATTGCCAAGATATGGTTACTTTTGAATGTGCCTTATGCAATTCCCTTAATGAATCCCATAAATATCTCTTCTTTGAATTTATATCTCTATGTCCATAATTCTTGATTGTCTACCATTTTATGGTTTCTTTCATGAGGGTTGCAACTTACCACAAATTTTCCAAAAAGCTAAGAATTTGGATTATAAGATTACCGAAAGATTTTTACATTTAGCTTCTCAAGGCATTAATTTTATATTTGGATTGAGAGAATCAATATTATATCTAACATAATTGCTACGCCTTATTGTCTTCTTATGGAAAAAACAAATTTGCAATATGTTTGAAAAGCTAAAGGTGGAATTTTAAAGATGATGTACCCCACACATGGTATGTATACCATACAACATATATGATTTCTTACTTGCAAATTCTCAATCTTTGCATTTGAGGAACTGCTATGTTTGTTTCCTATACTCTTCTGGATGGTTTCTCTTTATTATTACCTTTATATTTACATGGAATTATCTTATATCAACAATAGCCCTAGAACTACTAGTAATTGGCCCATTACTTATCAAGCATTTTGGTTAGTGGTTACTACAAAAAAAATGGACACCGATTTTGTAATTTTTTTGTTGCAGCCTCTTTATCTCAAATTAAAGGTGTTCTTAGTATCAAGTTGAAGTCCCCCTTTATTTATCCTTGAATTTTTACCTATAGAATCATTGCTCAAGGTTAAAAATAGCCAGCAAAAAGAAAAGATATGAGAATTCAAAGAGTCCATCAACTTCATATAAAAAGTTGTTTACGTTCATTCAAATATTGAGATTTGTCTCTCCAAAATATATTTATAGGAATTTTTTTTAAAATCAAAATAATATTTACATATTGATTTTTATAGAGCTAGTAAAATGAAATTATAATTTAGGGGCATTAGCTTACATACTAACAATTTCTATGCATTTACATATCTAACCCTAAAGCTCTATTTTTTACATTCATTCAACCTAAATCATTCATCACATAAACATATCATTACTTTAAAAATTTAAAAAATGATCTATACATTTTCATATATAAATAAAATGACACCAATATAAAAATTAGAACTTAAATACTTATCATGCAAATATATGGGAATTAAGTGGCATGTAACCCTAATTAAATAGGTTAAACAAGAATCTCACCTAAAAGCACGTGCGAGTTTATTACGGCAAGCCACAAGGTTGGTGGGAAGGTGCGCTGGCATCGTTAGATCCGCATCCCGCAGCGCCTTTGGTCCATTTCAACGGAAAGTTTTCCGCTCGTTCCACGTGACAATGGCGGAAAATTCATCGATTATATACTCCCCGTTCTGTTTCATGAATGGACGGGAAGGGGGAGAGTAGGTAGGCGCAAGGAGAAAAATTTTTCCCAATAATGCAGAGCGCAGCATTTTCCCTCTCGCCTTCCACTCCTCTTCTCCGATCACGGAGCACAAACCCTAACCCTAGATGCCGGATCCTTTCCGCCTCCCCCACAGTGAAGCTGCCGACTGCTTTGATCCGAGGCTGCGTCGCCGGCGGCGGCCTACGCGCCATATCGCCACGGCTCGGTGGATGGGAACATGCCATCTCTTCCTCTCCTTCGCGGCGACCCGATCTCGCTGTGAGGGCGAGCTCCATACCGGAAAGCGCCGATGAGAGTCCCGCCAAGGCCAATGAATTGGTGCAGACGCTGCTGCTTGGCTCGCTCTTCGGACTTTGGTACCTATTTAATATCTACTTCAACATCTATAACAAGCAGGTAGTTTTTGCCCTTTTCTCCGTTTGCTTTAAGCATTTTCTTGTATTTGCGGGGTTGGTTTTTTGCTGGGTTGCTTGGCCACGATATGATTTAATTTGGCCTTGATCGGATCTCACTTATCCTTGATGTTCTAGTTTTCTGTTTAAGACGTAATTAGGTGATCTTAATTTGAAAAACCTTTTTTTGTATTGAAATTATGATTTGTGGACGTATTAGTGTTACTTATTGGTAACTATGCAATGTTTTCCGCACTCTATCTATTTCTTTCTACGGATGTGGACGTATTAGTGTTACTTATTGGTAACTATGTTTTCCGCACTCTATCTATTTCTTTCTACGGATCTTTAATAATTGTTGATTGGTCAATTCGTGATTTCTATTAAATTTATAATTGTTTTGTGCTTTCGTTATTGATGGAGCAGTTTTAAACGATAGTGTAAAGAAAAACGTTAAAGTGCATTCATTTGTTTGAGTCGATTTAAAAAATTGTTAGGTTTATGAACCCTAAAAAAAGTTGAGTGAACTTTACTATAAGATGGCAAACTTTATTTTCGTAAGTATTAAACGTAGTGCCTGTTCTAGATTTTTGGATTGTAATTCAAGAGGATCTATTGATTTTGCCAAGTGGACATGATGATGAATGCAAAATATCAGGCAAATGAGAAAAAAATATGAATTTTATTTTTGTATTTTTAATGAATTTAAAAGTTCTTTAGGAGATTATTGAAAACAAATGTAATATTTTTTTTTCAAATAACTTAACTAAAATCCATGCTAGTTGATCTTAATGAAAATAACATTAGGTTTTTATTCGAAGAAAGGTTTTAAAATTGAAATGCACTCCTTACCAAGGTTTAATGAAGGTTTTGTTAGTTCAAGGACGCTTGTTTAGGCTATTTAAAGAAAGTTAAGAAAACTATTTAAACTTCATGCAAATATCATATGATTCACAAACAATCATACAAAACAGTATAGTTGTTCTTAATAAATAACTGTAATTAAAACTAAATAAATTTATAATTGCAAATTTGAGGAAACTTTCACCAAGTAAAACACCATATTTTCATGCACAAGTTTAATTGGGAGCTTAGTGCAACTTCATCTTCACTCGCACAATTCTCAGGTTAGGCTTTAAAACCACTTGATGTAGAGATTAGGCTTTGCGATCACTTGATGTAGAGGTTAGGCTCTGATACCACTTTTACTTGGGTCGACCGTCTAAATGTTATTTGGACAACACATAAAATAACTAGATAATCACCTCTTCCTCATAAAAAATGTAGCACATTACTCAAACTCATTAAAGGAAGAGACATGGCAAACTAGCCTGCTAAGCACCAAGCTAAGTTTGGAAAAGGGAGAACTTTGAAATTGTATTCAAAATATGATGATTACACCCTAAATTCTATGCTTATATCCAGCATTTTTCATCCATGAATTTATGGGAGAAGTCCAAAATTCATAAGAATACAAATAGTCTGTAAAAATTGGAAAGAAATAGGATTAATATTTGGCCAAAGAGTCAAGATAAACAGTCTGGACTTGGAGATGGACCAATAAATCAGATAATCAAATTTAAGCTTTGTTTGTTAGTAGTATGTTGTTTGATATGCTATAAACTTGTGAAAACTTTCATGAAGATGGATAAACTGTTTATCACAAATATTTTGGCTATGATTGTGATTCCACAATGGAGTTATATATGTTGTATTATGCTTACCGTTCTGCATTCCTGTGCATTTAAGAATCATGATGCATCAGTTTTTAAAAAGCAACGCATGTCAAAAATATTATTAAACCCTCAATTTGAAAGAATTATGAAATAAGAATGAGTAGGCTAAGGATAATATTAGCTAGAAATTTATAGAAAGGCTTGTGTAAAATATACTAAACTTTTCATTTAGCACTTAAAAGGCATGAATGGAGATTATTCGTTAAACCGAACCCAATTTCTGGTATAAGAATGTTGATGGTGATCATCTATTGACTTTGTCTTTTCAATTTAGCACCACCTCATAACATTTTTGTGCTACAATTCTTTTTTATTTCATTTCCAATTGTTTCATTTTGTTTATTTTAGACTTAATGTTGATAATTTCTTATATTTTTAACATAAATGATGACAAGGAAGGCTTCTTAAATCCTTGACTCATCATGTGCAGAATTGTTTCATATTGCTCCTTCATATCCCTTTGGCAATCTTTTGTTCAATTCTCAATGATATTGTTAAATTTCAACCATTTTCTGCATATTTCATATTCAATTCTCCATCTATATTTGATCTGCTTTATCGTAATAAATTAATTGTTGAAAGTGTAATCTACGCTGGCTAGGAGCATAATTGTGTTTGTCAATTTAAGAAATTACAATATTCTAGGTTGAAACAAAGTGAAGCTTTTTAGGCCCGCTTGTTTGTAAATAGAAACTTGCAACAAATATCAAATGAATTGCGTTTGCATTTATGTGAAAGTGCTGCTGTGCTGTACTTCTTTTCCTTTTTTAGATCCATGTACTGGAAGGTATTTAAACAATTGGGTACTTTGGCTTTTGAATTTTTATACGCTACATGTTAGATATAAAATAATTCTGGCTTGATTGAGTTTTTTATTTTTGGATCCCCTTTGTGGAGGCCAAGGTTTGATTCCTTGAGAAGGGCTATTGCCCAGAAGTTTATAATTTACTTGACCCTCTAGTTTAATCCTGGGAACTAAAAACACTGTTCTTTTTATTATATTTGGTATTTATGTTGTGCCTCATGAATTAGCATTGTTGGCAACTATAAGCATTCCAATTATTCTTTCTCTTTACGGCAAGTTTGTAGTATTTAATGTGATAGCAGAAATGGGAGAACTTAAATCCTGCCTCATCAAAGCTTCTATCCTCTGAAAAGGAGGCAACTTTAATAATGCACATTAATTGGAACCTTTATTTTTTTCTACTAAGTTCTTCAATGAAGCTAAATGGAAAAATATTCTTCTTTTTTATTTTTTTCTTTTTATCATTTTATCTTTGTTTGTACAGAACGTTCTGTGTTTAACTACATCAACATAACTTCTTCTCTTTTTCCATAGGTGCTCAAAGTTTTTCCCAACCCGTTGACAATCACTACTTGTCAGTTTCTCATTGGAACTGTTCTTGTCCTTTTTATGTGGACGACAACTCTTTATAGGAGGCCGAAGATTACTTCTTCACAGGTATTTACATATCTAATATGCGTAATACTATTTCCTAGAAAACCAAGTTAGTGGTCACAAAGTTATCTAATTGTTGAAACCTTCATTGTTGCAGCTTGTAGCTATTCTTCCGCTGGCCATGGTCCATACATTAGGCAACCTTTTCACTAATATGAGCCTTGGAAAAGTTGCTGTATCATTTACACATACAATCAAAGCTATGGAACCGTTCTTCTCGGTTCTGCTTTCTGCCTTGTTTCTTGGTGAGGTTAGTTTTTTTTCCGAGTCCTGACACTTATCAAATTTTACTTCTAAATAATGTCATTAATGATTTGCTTAACCTTTTTTTTCATTGGAGTTGGGATTCATGAAAAGGACGGTCATCAACTTTTTGGATATTTGTTTTGCATTGAGGTTAATAACTTTTATTTGATTGGACAAATAAAACTATTGAATATTGTTCACATGTGGTGGTATATACAAATACAACTTAGCATACAAATGTTAAAGGTGATCATGTTTGGATCCTTTTTTTTTTACTTGTTTTCAATTTTGTATTTTTCTATCTTCAAGAATATTGAAAACACATCAAGAAAACATGTTTGATTGAGCTTGGATATTTCTCTCATTACCAGCATACTATTTTTGTAATTTCTAGTTCTAATTGGAATTAAACATAATAAAAATTTATTCTTGTCAATAATATAACAATTAATTTTCTTTTGCCAATTCTTTTAATTATAAAATAAATATTGTGAATATTTTGTTATGATAATAAGAGCTTTGATGGAATCATTAGAATTTATTGATATATTTCAATGTTATATTGGATATATAAAAAATTTTTAAATAGTCATAAAATTAATTGATATATAATATAGTTTATTGCAGATAATATTCAAGTTAATGTGGCTTAAGATATTATATTTCATAAAATATGCATGCTTTTTTTAAAAAAAA